AAGTTAGCAGGGATTGAAGTTATCTGTGCCCCTCATCACTAGAGCAGGTCCATTTTCACTGTGCACTAGCCAGTGCTGTCCTATAATCAAGAGGCTTTTTGCCAAACTGATGAGCACACAATGTACTGATTCTACCCTTAATGGCTTCATCTCCAAGGTAGTGTGATTCAACATTCTAAAGGGGCAAAATAATAGTTAGCAAACAAAGTATTAAAACAGAAAATAAGCAAATTGTTAAAGCATTTTATAATTTTTCAACTTGCCTTTCTCTATACCAAATAGATTATTGAGAGAAGTTGCCCTGACTCTATAGAGCTACGTCTAAACCATTCTAGGTTATCCAAATGGAGTTGCAGATAGGCATGAAGATGTTCCAGAAAAAGCACAGATTTGGACACTTAGACTCAAAAAAAAAAAAAAAAGACTATGTAACTCAGAGAACAGTCCAGGTAGAGGTTAGAAATAATAGGGGAAAGTTACCCTAGAGTTTAATCAAAGGAGATCTGTCAATATTTGGCTTTTTCTGTAAGAGACATCCAGTAGAAGCAATTAACATAAAGCAAATTCAGGTAAGAGCTGCAGTTTGTCCCATGCTGGCAAGGGAAATAGTACTCTCATACGCTGCGAGTAGAAATATAAACTGGTTTAGACTTTTTGGAGAACAACTTCCATCTCTATTAACATTTAAAATTTCTATCTAGCAACTCTAATTCTAGGCATTGTATAGAGAAATACTTCAACATTCTCTTTTTTTTTAAGTACTCACATATGCTAGGCAAATACTTGAACATTAAACTACATACATCCCCAGCACTTTTAAAAATTTCATTTTGAAAAAACAAAATTAATTTGCTTGTTTATTTATTTATTTTGGTACTGGGGGTTGAACCAAAGGGTGCTTTATCCCTGAGCTACATCCCCAGGCCTTCTTTAAATACATTTTTTAAAATATATTTATTTATTCATTGTAGTACTGGGGATTGAACCCAGGGGTGGTCTACCACTGAGCTCCCAGCTAGCAGGGATTATACGTATGGCACCACTGTGCCCAGCTCAACATTCATTATAACATGTTTATAATTCCCATCACTAGGGAATAGAAACATGAACTATAGACAATGTATACCAGTTAAAAAACAAAGTAAGAACTTTAGGTAGTGAAATAGAAAGATTTTCAATGTATATTATTCTTAAAAAGCAAGTTATAGAACTCTATTTATAGGGTGCTCCCATTTATGTAAAACTAAAACACCAAACACCTTACAAAATCATATTGTCCTTTACACACATAAATTCACTGAACAGTCTAGACAGGACATAGTCTAATCAGAGAACAATAGTTTTAAAAAAATGAGGGAAATAAAGATCAAAGGGTGAGGTTGGGGGGCGGTCTTCTCCTACCTATATTATCTGAAATTCATTTAGAAAATGTATTCACGTACAGTGAATAATCACAAAGTTTAAAATGAACTAAAATATAAGGGCCACCTTTCTATATGAAATGAAAGATGTTCAAGACATTACCAATACCAGGTATAGTATAATCAACCTCATGGTTGGAAGCAGGAGAAATGGATGGATAAGTATCAGCTTGGAGTAAGAGACATGACTTCAGATATCGACCTGCCACTCACAGGTCCAGTGAATACGCACGCTATTTAATCTCTCCAAAACCCTAATTTAAGAACTTTCTACCTGGTTCACGGGGTACTGTGAGGTTTAAGTGAGAATATACAAAGTACTTTCCGCAAAGCCCACCATTGATAAGCATTCAAAAAATGATAGCTGCTATTTGTGTTAAAATAATAATTTCAGTGTTAAAATTAAATCCCTAAGATCATTTCAAAGAGAATCATCAATATAATGGATTATGATTTAGTCTTTTTTTATTTAGTCTTTATATTAGTCATTTCTCTTTTTTAAATTACCAATTCTGTGAGTTTTGGTCATTAAATTTTAGCACTGGAAAATGATTCTCAAAAGTTCACCTAACACTTGGTGTGGTGGCACATGCCTACAATCTCAGTGACTCAGGAGGCTAAGGCAGGAGGATCACAAGCAAGGCCCTGTCTCAAAATAAAAAAATTAAAGGGATTGAAGTGTAGCTCAGTGGTAGAGTACCCCTGGGTTCAATCCCCAGTAACACACACACACACTCACTCACCAAAAAAAAAAAAAAAAGGGAAAAGGAAAGGTGGTCAAGGTGTGGAATACTTGTAGACTCAGCTACTTAGAAGGCTGAAGCAAATCCAGTAGACCAGCCTGGCCAACACTGTAAGACCCCATCTCAACAAAAAGGAAATGCTGCACCTATAGACAGCACTTCTATCCTTTTATCTACCCTCTCACATGGCTGCTCCTCAGGCATGCCCCTTTTGCCAATTTGTAAAAAGTAAGAGCACCACAAAAAAACTGGTAGGTTTAGGGGAGAATAAAACTTAGAGGCAGAGAGCCAGCTTCGCATGCACAAGGTCCTGGGTTAGAGAGTGGGGGGAGAAAAGCTCCCTTCAGAGGACAAATAATTGCCACAAGTAGGTATACCATAGACCTGAAAGCAAAGATTCCATCTTGATACATGGTTGTATATTAATCAACATATTTGCTGAATGGCTACTAATGTACGTATGATTTTTAGTTAGTGCTACTTGGACCTCATTCTAAAGTCCCAGGTTTCTTCTTTTTTCTTAGTATATTTTTTAGTTGAAGATAGACACCATACCTTTATTTTATCTATCTATCTACTAATTAATTTTCTTATTTTATGTGTGCTGAAATCAAACCCACTGCCTCACAGATGCCAAGCAAGCCCAGTCCTGGGTTTCTGATCTCAAGGAGCCACCCTACTTTATGAATATAAGAAAGAATAAATAATAACATAAGATGACACAAAAGAAATATAGGCAACCAATGCTATGGAAGTTCACATGCATGTGTATACATACAGAGTGAACTCCTGCTTCAGTACTTCATTGTCCCCACTTGAACTAGAATATAAACCCATTAGATGTAGTTCTCTTATTCCTTGTTTTTATATTTAACCCTAATGCCTAATGATAGATAGTAGGTGCTTAATAAATCAAGACACTCTAGGCTCTGTAGTGAATATGCAAATATTTGAGTAAATTATGATAGCAGGGATAATGGGAGGGGGGGGTATAAGTGAATGGTGGTTAGAGAATTAGTTAAGGTAGTTTGCCCCTGGTGTTCTTTGGGCTGAAACAGTTTGGAGTGGCAGCCATTGGGAGGCTCTGCTAACCTGCTAGAGGCCTCCCAGATTTCAGGGGAGGGGAGTTATTTTGGTTTTTGGTACCAGGGGCACTTAATCATTGAGCCACATCTGCAGCCCTTTTTATTTCTTGAGACAGATTTGGCTAAATTGCTGAGGCTGACTTTGAACTTTCGATCCTCTTGCCTCACCCTCCCTAGCTGCTGGGATTACAGGTGAGCATCACTGCCTTGGGCTCCAGATTTCAGTTCTTGGTGGAGGGTAGGCCAGGCAGAGGAGAAACTTAACTCTGTACTGAATATAGTTTTCTTTGCTTCTCAGAGGAGAAAAGCAAGGACAAGTAAGCTGTACCTACTTTTTTCAGGTTGAACAACAATAGTGACCATAGTGGAGTCCTCTGTGCCTGCCACAGCCCTGTCAGTCCATATCCCCTCTTCCTTTCCCTGCCCCATGTGGACTCCAGCCATTCTCCTTTCTCCCCATCCTTCAGTCAAGGACAGAAGCCATGCTAATCATAAAAGTCATCTTTCTGAATTCTATGCTAGGAACCAGTACTCTAAACCTACCAGGGAAGCAATAATCTGATTTGAAGAAAAGGTTCATCCCTCAAAATTTAATTACAGAGCAAACTCTAAGTTCACCCTGGATAGAATGAAGAGAAAGAACTGAATCAAATCCAGATCCTGAATTTCCTACCCTGAATTTTTTTTTTTTCTCTAGGACACACTACACACTACAGGATTAATATTTTTTTCTATCTAGGGGAACAAAACCTTCAAAATTCATCACCTCCCCTAGTTTTGAGCAAACTTGAACCAATTCTAACAGATAAGAATCTATCCCCTAGGGGCTGGGGATGTGGCTCAAGCGGTAGCGCGCTCGCCTGGCATGCGTGCGGCCCGGGTTCGATTCTCAGCACCACATACCAACAAAGATGTTGTGTCCGCCGAGAACTAAAAAATAAATATTAAAAATCTCTCTCTCCTCTCTCACTCTCTCTTTAA